TTATAAATTTTATAAAGAAATTTGCGTAACCGTTAGTTGAGACTTGAAAGTTGTGTGGTTTAATTTTAAAGAACACATTTTTTTCGATGTTATCTGATCGAACATCTGGGACCCCCCAAACCGTCCGGGTTGTCTCCCCTGACAATGAGGCCAAACGTCCGACCAGAGCCATCCTTTAGAACTTGCATAATTTTTTTATTATTATTTTTTTTTTGAAGATAAGGCATATGCCCATACTGTTTTGGGGCATTTTGAGAGTATAAAAAAAATAAATCGCCAAAGATGACAATGTAAAAAATTTGTTCATTTTTTTCATATTTCAATTTTTGAAGTTTTTCTATTTTTGTTTTTGTGGGGGGAGGGGGATTTTTTTGCGGCCCGTTGCGGGTGCTTTGAGAAGTGAGGTATACCCTTATAAATTTTCAGGCAATTTGAGGTTATCAAGAAAAAAAAAAAAAAGATGATCAAACATTGCGGTGAAAGAAAAGCGAAATTTTTTTCTTCCTCCACTTCAACCTCGTTTGCCTCCTCCTTCCCCCCCCACCGTTCTTAGTTTTCCTCCTCGTCGTCCTCCATCGCCACGACCTCGTACTCCTCCTCCTCTACCCCATCCTCCTTCTTCTTCTCTTCCTCCTTTTTTTCTCCTCCTCTTTTTCTTCTTCCTCCTCTTCTCCTCCTCTTTTCCCTCTTCCTCCTCCTCCTTCTCCCCCTCCTCCTCTTCTTCTTCCTCCTCTTCCTCTTCCTCCATCGTTGATGCATCCTCCTCCTCCTCCTCCTCTTCTCCTTCTTCTTTCTCCCCCTCCTCACCCCCCTCCTCCCTCTCCTCCTCCTCCTTTTCTTCTTCTTACTCCTTTTAGTGTGTAGTAGCGGGCCCTCCATTACCCCCTCGCTCCCCTTCCCCGCCCTTCTTACCATTTTTTTCCGTTTTTGCTCAGAATGGCCTGAACGTTTTTTGGGTGGGTCTCCTAGTGGTGCTCATACCCCCTCATTTTTTTTTAATGTTTTTTTTGCAAAAAGTTATTGTCCGCGATCCCGGACAACTTCGCCCTTACTATCTCCCGGAGACGTCTCCGGATCGGACAATTGGCAACCTAGTTTTTTTTTTTTTTTTTTTTTTAGGGACCTTGCCTAACCGTTGTCCGGTTAGA